CGAGGAGATGTGCGGCTTGTTTTCCTACACATCGAATGGCAAACCTTAAACACCGACAGCACCTCTCCATGATGGTGCTCTCCGTCTGGTACTTGTCAATCACTGTTGACAAAACAGGCCAGCACTGCAACACAACATGGTCATTTGTAGATCAATGTATACAGAGAGACAAAGATACAGACATTGTTGTTAAGGGTGGAAACAGGGATATGTAAGGAGCAGGATCTAGATACTCGTTTTACTTGGGGAGCCAATTCACAAGCACTACCATAGCATTGATGTACATCAATCTTTTCTCTGGTCATCTTAGCAGCTGAATATTAAGCTATTATTGTGTGAGACTGTACTGACACATTAAACACACTTCCAGTAGGCTTCAGTCCTGGCATCCACCAGCAGACAGCCAGCTGACATAAATGAAGCTGATCCAATAAGACTTGGACAACGATAGGTCCATTGGCAAAAAGTTCTGTACAAAATCTCCAATCCAGTAACAGCAGGTGCAAAAATCACCTTTAACCACATTGGCCTAGTAAGGCACAACAAGAAAAACACCTCATTTAAATCTGTTAAGTCTTTTCACTGACATTCAGCATGTAATGACAACTAGGTTGCAAAAAAGATAAATTCAACTAAGCTTTGTGTCACCTTATGTGCTAAGTGCTAAAGTCAGTTTTCCTTGCTAGGTTTATAGGACGCGTTGCAGAAAGTCAACAGTCCCGGAAGGTCAAATAATTTATACCTGTGCCGCTAGGTCAAAAACTACAATGTTTGCAGTGTCTGTAGATCAAAAATCCCAGTAAGTCAAATAGTACAGTCCGGGCTAAAAACGTAGTCTATGTTAAAGCAATTGACTTATTGGGAATTTGACCTAATGCAACAGCAGTTTTAATATAACGAAATAAGATAAAATATAAGTTCAGTTTCGCTGAGTCAACAGTGCCGGAAGGTCAAAAGTATAATCTGTTAAAAACAACGATAGTCCTCTCGACGCATGACTTCAATAATTTCGTGTTTTGGTGTACTTAAAGTTGTGCTAAAATTTTGAAATTTGGCACAGAGCTTCTTGGTTAGTCCTACTCGATGACTATTTTGTTGGAACTTTAAACTATTTACCGATCTAATTAACAAAAATTGATTTGTATGGTGAAATAGTTTTAAACCGTGATTTCTAACATGAAAAAGTTAGTATGCGAGATTTTTTTTGTTTTTGGGTTAGAGAGGTTTTGTCTGTGGCAAAGTTGTAGCCAAAAGTGTGATGCGTAAAATATATTTTTTTGAATTTTCTACAATCAGTGGTTCAGTAGATAACTTGGGTTGAAGAGGACGGCAAATTTAGCATTTCGCAACGCATGGAAAGAACTACATCGTACGATGCGACTGCTGAGTGGACTTTTAATCTATAGTTCTAAGGACAAGAAAAAGATGAATATACAGATCACCAGTACATTCATATTATTTATAAAACATCTTTCTTTATTACCAGCTTACATTTTTCACTTATAAGAATACATCATAAACAGGGTGTTAAAATAAGCGGGGAGATACTTTACCTAGTAATTCCTTGGTCAAAATAAACAGAAAATCAAGGTTAACATTTTTTCCAAAATCATTTCGTTAACCAGATATCCACCATTTTGTATATTTTACATACAAATATTTATCTTTGCACTTTTCCAACCGATGTTTATGAAACTTGGTATTAGGGGTGTGCGAATAGTGATTTTCAACCTCGAGCCGAGCCGAGCCGAGCTTTTTAAAAAATTTTCGAGCTCGAGCTTTTTCGAGCCGAGCTTTTCTAGCGTCACCTTATCTAAACTTGTTATTCTTAAAAAAGTGCATAATAATTGAGTAGTAGACGTTAAGCCGATTTCGTTATTTTCATTGATGATATTTGACAAATAAATAGTAAGAAAGGAAAATTTTTGAGTTTTATTTAATCCCTTAACCCCTTTAAATATTGACATACTAGGCCTACTAATAATCGGCAACCTAGACATCGCTTGCGTCATCCATTTCACTGACAGCGACAGCGACAGCGCCGACAGCTGAGCTGACACTGGGACTGGTGATAGGCAGTGGTGTAGGTTTGCGAGTGCGATGCATCGAATCCCGATTCGATCCAGCATGCATCAAAATCCCGATGCATCGATTACGTCACGATACAGCTCTACTAGTAAAAAGAGATGATTCGATTATCGTCATCGATACCACCGATACTTGGACATTGGTATCGGTACCAAGACTCGATTGTCAAAAGTCGATTCCGATGATACCGACATCCGACAGGGATAAATATTTTATTTTAGCATTTATTTACTGTATAGCTACAGTATTAGTTTTGTCATCACGGTTAACAATTTTCATAGCCAACTTAGAAACTATCTAGTTCAAAACAGCGACGGTGCCGGGGACATTGTTTAGCTTCAGCATTGCACAACACAATCTACGAATCTACATTTCAAGATGTCAGACTCAACTCAAGAGACAACCGGCGCGCGAATGTCCTGCCAACACAAATTAATTATCCTAAACAATGTCTGTATCAATAAGTCAGACATTTAGATGTATTATTTTTATTTTTAGTACAACGTCGAAATTTTCAGTTCAATAATCCCTGCATTATACGCATCATTAGAAAAATTATATTCAACCATTAAACTTTAACATCGTCGTATGGTTAGGCTTGCTTTATATTGCGCCAAAAAGTAGATCCATATTTTGATATGTACTATCTACCTGGTTAAAGAGTTTAGTGAAGTTTTAAGTGCTACTATAACATAATGTATTTATTGAAAAATATTATAAGCCTTAGTCCATGTCGATTTTGTAATGTTAAAACGATTGGTGAATGTTGACCATAAAAGTATGTAACAACAGTTCTCATTGGTCAGGAGGCGTCAGTGCACTACCATGTCAGCCAATCGACTTTCGTGTTTCAATGGAGCAAATGACGATTGCTTTAACATCGTTTTATGTGCTTATTGTGGGTGGAAAGGGTATCGATAAATATCGTGATTCGAGATCCGACATGTAGGACGTGTTTGTTTATAAATAATGAGTATTTAAGTATAAAAAACTAGGTTACAGACAGGTTCAAAACTTTGATTGTTCCGATCCATTGTTGACACCCCTACACGGAGGTTATAGTGACGTCGTGCATAAGGGCCAGGCAGGCCGGTCACAGTGAATCCACTCTGCCTGCCGAACCTTGTTCTTGGTATAATCGGGAACATAGTCAAACACTTTTGTTACTAAATAA